CCCCAAAACCCCAAAACCCCAAAACCCCATGGGCAAAAATATGAATTTATAATCCATTAATTATCAAAGTATATTTATATAATTCAATATGTTGCTAAATTCTCTCAAACATTAATTAGTGAACCCCGTTGTTGGCAATCAAACTTTTGCTGCCTCAATCCTTTTAAGAAATACCTAGCTTCTAAGAATGAATCAACTTATCATGGTTAATTCGAAAGCCTTCAGCAAAGTAAACTCAGGTGAATACACAAGATTTCACTCTCAAGATCACAAGGATTTAAAGTTCTCATCTTTTTTGAGAAAGGATAAAGACTATTCAGTTGAGCCATATAGAGGCGTTCCACTTGTAGATAAAAGATTCGAGCCTAAACCTGAGGTAAGTCTCAAATAATTGAAACGCCAATCAAATTATTAAATCAAATATATAGTATTCAAGATTGAAGTTTGACCCAGATGTGAGATCTGTTGCTGATGATTTTGAGAATCATTTAGTTTACAGGTATATGTAAGGTATTCTACCAGATCAAAAACCTGAGTCATCATATGTTGCTGTCAATCATAATGGTTAAGTTTGGCATTTATTCAATGCAGAGAAGATGCCAATTGGTCGTTTGGCTGCCATGGCAGCTGTTTTCATTAGAGGAAAGAACAAACCAGGCTTTGTTCTTAATAAAGAAGACTAAGGAGATAAAATTGTAGTCGTCAATGCCTCTAAAATTATGATTACTGGTAAAAAGAAACACCAAAAGTTGTACAGACATTATACTGGCTATGTTGGTAACTTAAAAGAAATCCCATTCCTTGAACTATAGGAGAAGAATCCTAGAGAAATCATTAGAAGAGCTATCAAAGGAATGATACCTAAAAATAGTATTAGAGATGATATTGTAGAAAGAAATTTAATCGTGCATAATGGTCTCTATCACAATCACTATGCTCAAAAGCTTCCTCATTTTGTTCGTCAAAAGCCTGAAGATATTAATAAGGATTATGGTATAAATACTATAACAAAAGAGGATTATTATGTTGAGTTCGAATCAAACCCCGCTAACCCACCTGTAGAATTTAAGGACTTTGAAAGAAGAATTGATCCTGAAGTTGGCACTCCTATCCCATCAATGACAAAAACTCACACAGAAGGAAGTAGACCAATGCAAATAAATAGACAACTTCAAAAGAGCTTTAAATCACTAAGAAATTTTAAGAAGTTTTGAGTCTGCAAAATAATCAGATAAAGTTCAGTCACGCCATCATCTGCAAAGACTTGTAAAGTCTGATGAATTGTTTTAATTTAACTTTTACTCTTCTTCAAATTTTTAATTATTAAATTAAATTTGTAAATTCAAAGATGAGTAATATAAGAACTTTGAACGATTACAGGGACAATTAAAATAATCAGAACTCAAATTACTAATAGAATCCTCCCAGAGCTTAAGCATATGTAGTTGGAGGATAATAAAATAGACAATCTTAATTATAACACTAGGAAAGCAAAGAAACCTGCAAACCATTAAAACTCTGCTTTTATCTATTTTTCCCGAATTTCAAATTGAAGTCTGTGACTTTTGCATATGTAGTTATATTCTTATTGGTGTACATCATCGATGAAATTGTCCATGCTGCTAAAAAGGCATAAGGAGGCAAAAATATTATATCATGGGCTTGTATATTATATGAAAGTGGAGCTAAATTTACCTATGCAATTTCTAAATAAGGGCATCTTCATAGACTTTTCATGCCAATGTTTTTGCATTCAGGATTTTTTCATATATTTTGGAATATATTCTCTTTTTTTATGATTGGCTTTTCAATTGAAAATTCTATGGGCAAATGGTATAGATATGCAACTCTTTTATTAATAGGAGCTATCGGTGGAAATATTTTTAGTGCTGTCATTGATCCGTACAATTTTGGAGTTGGAGCATCGACATCACTTTTTGCCGTTCTTGCCTGTCTTTGTACTTGGTTTTATTTGAACTATGATAGACTTGGACCTATGAAATTCCAATATATGATTTTCTTTGCATTGATGGTCTGCTTTGCGTTTTTAAACGGATTTCTTTTCCCAGGGAGTGGAGTTGATAGCTGGGGACATATGGGAGGATTTCTCTATGGGCTTGCCCTTTCATTTATATTACTAAAAGGTTAAGATATGGCTTAGTAAAAAAGATTGGATAGATTTAGAGTACCAGCATACTTGTTCCTTATAGTAATAACAGCAGCTTTTACGGTAGCTATGTTTGCAAGAAATCTTCCTGAATGTGATAAAATTGATTGTGCTCATATTTGTGACAGATGATCAAATTTCTACTAATTTTTTTCTCATTCTTTTATACATACAGATTTATTCCACATCACGGGGTTTTGGGGTTTTGGGGTTTTGGGG